GCGCACATCTCACCATGCAGATGGGAGATGTGTCAAATTTCTGAAGGCAATGGAGGACAGCAGTGTCATCGTCCTCCTCAAAGAAATCACCCTCATCTTCCACTTGGTGGATTTGATCAACCTCGGGCTCGAGATCGTCCTCAATGATCTCCTCGATAATCAAGACTTTATAGGGACTAGAGCACTTAGAAGCGATATGCCCATACCCCTGATATTGAAAGCACTTGGTCCTGGGACTGGACCGAGGGGTATCCGGGGTGGGAGGTTTACTCCTAAAATCAGATCGAAGTGCAGGAGGATCAGTGGGTGGTCGAGTAGTGCTCCCTGGGGTCGGTCGGTCAGTAGGAGTGTGAGGAGTGGAACTACCTGAAGGTTTGTAGGAAGGCCTAGAATCATAGGATCGACTCGAGTGCTGGGAACAGGTCTCCTCCAGATCTAACACTAGGCTGTAGGCGTTCTCGAGTGTAGTGACGTTCCGGACAAACAGCTCATTGCGAAGATCCTCTCGCAACCCGGTACGAAACATAGACATGATCTGCGCAGGGGTGGTAGAGGTCTCCCCTTTGCAGCAAATCAGGTAGTCATCAAAGGACATGATGTACTCCTTAACTAGTTTGTTGCCCTGACTCAACCTATTCCACCTATCCAACAACCTAGGGAAGTACGATGGAGGCAAGTACTTCTGCTTAAGTTCACGCTTCATGGATGGCTAATCAATGATGGGATACCCATTCCTGGCTTCTCTAAGGCTTTCTAGATTTGACCAATGATGACTTGCCCTACCCGTAAGGTTCATCTCAACAAAACTAACATTCCTAGCCTCGGATTTGTTATGCCACTTAAATAAGCTATACATATCTTTAACCCAGTCCAGGAAGAGCTGGGGATCAAGGGTTCCATCAAAGGTAGGAGCATCGACTTTAATGTTCTTCATCAGTAGTATGTCAGGGTCATGGTTATGGATGTGTCCATACTGAGGAGCTCGATGATTGGCACGATGTTGCCTCTCATCCTGACAGGTATCATCCCCATACATAAAAGAAGGTCTAGATGCGGTATAGGGGGTTGGATGATCCCTAGAGCATTCAAGTGTGTCAAAACGTTTAGTTGTCTCCCTACGAAGCTCAGCTAGGTCGGCTTGATTCTCTTTAAGTTGCTGGCTAATTGTATTCATTTGACCTACCAGTAAGTCTAAAATCATTCCAAGTTGTTCTGGGTCCATTGGGATTCACTACGGGACACCTATGATGACTAGGATGTAAAGGACAACAATTTATATGAATGAAAACACACTTATATCTTGCAAAATTGATGCAGTAAATATATGGACAGCAAACATAAAAGGTGCTAAATGCAAAGAATGTAATGTAGGAACAACTAGCAAAGCGTAGCAATGATAAAAAAAAATTCTACGATGGATCCTAGTACATGCACTAAGAGCAAACCATGCTCTGATACCAGATGATGCAAGACTACAATGCTTTTGAATGTATGCGATAAGAACTTGCGCGATTTTGATAAGAACAATTACGATTAAGACTATTAGCAATCAAAAAGACAAAAGAAAACATAAGAAAGGTAGCTAAGCTTTAGGCCAAATCACATGCCAAATACTTGGATTATCAAAATAACTTAGAATTTTCAACAACATGCGAATTAAGTAATTTTCAACAAAATCCCGAATCTAACAATAAGATAGTAATATAGAAAGCACACTCAATCCTAAGTTTACCAAGCAGAGGCAGAAGGCGAAGCACGATTCCTTGTGACTTGATCACCACCTACAAGATTAGTGGAGTAGGAAATTAATTGAAAATGGGAAGAAGTTCACCCTTGGGATGGTCCGGAAACGATTTGCCATTGGACGTTGGCAAGTTGCTCATCAATGGCCTCCGAAAGCGTGAAGATGATGTGGTCCATGTGTTCTTCAATGGAACGATCCACTTCCGGGTTGAAATCGAAGAAGGTGGAGTGGAGGATGTTGACGTTGCCTTGTTCGTCGTAAGCGAATCCGTAGTCAAGCTCTGGATTGGTCATTCATTGGCTTTGAAAGAATGATGTGTAGATGAAGATCAATGGGGAATCCCCTTGGTGACTTCTCTAGGGAGAAAGAAGTTTCTCTCTAGATTTTAACTAGAGAAGGAGAGAAGGATGGGCCGGCCACGGAAGGAGGGAGGGGGAACTGAATTTTGATTCAGATTTTGTGGAGGGAAAGTACTTCAAACATCTCCTTAATTAATCCCTTTAATTGAGAGTAATTAAAGAAGAGAAAGAAAGGGAGGGGCGCGGCAAGAGAGAGGAGGTTTGGGGATTTATTTCCAAAGCTAAATATGAGATTTTGGAAAGTAGTAAGGAAATGGGCTCTTGGAAATTTCGGCCAAAGAGAGGTGGGGAAAATATGAATTATTTCCAAGAGAGAGCTTAGTGGGTTTTAGAAATAAATCGCAAGGGATTCAATAGCGGGGCCGGCGGCTTCAAGGGGTTAGGAGGGGATTGTGGGGAGAGATTTGGGTTTCCTATTTTGGGATTTAGGGATTAGGAAAGATTTAATTAAATCGAATTTAATTTGAAATTCAAATATGATTTAATTTGGTAACTTTCCTAAAATAGATTTCTTAAATTAGGAAAGAATATTCAAATTCAAATTATTTTGAAAATTGAAATTAAACATTCTTAAATTAAGAGTGATCACTTATGGAAGGTATTCAAGAAGGGATTTGAACTGTGGAGGGAAGATGGGAGAGGTATGGCCGGCGGCTAGGTTGGGGGCTTGTGAGGATTTCGGTGGAGGGGAGGGGGTGGTGAAGAGATGAGGCCGGCAAGTGATGGTGGGAGAATTAGGTGGCCAACGGCTTAGGGGTTTGGAGAGACCTTAGGCTGGCAGCTAGGTGATGAAGGAAAAGGGAAGAATATATAAAGAAGAAGAAAAACCACGAACCCGACCGTCTCCAAGGTTGGTGGGTGATCCAATTTCCCGCTAAAAGGATTTCTCTCTCTAAGCACTCACAAGATCTCACAAAGAACAAAAGCAATGAAAAATTTTTATCATTCATTCATTAAACATCAAAATAGAATATAAGGGCTATATATAGCCTCGTACAAAGGACTAAAAACTAAAAGACGACAATGCCCTTTGGGCTTACACACGGCCTCCCTTTAAGGGGGGTAAAGCGGAAAAATAACAAAATAAATACAACATAGCATAACATAAAATAATAAAATATATACATAATACGACTCAGAAATATATCGACTCAATCGTGGTCGTAGATCGATGGCCACGTCTCTGATAGACTTTCCAAGCTCTGATGTATGTACAAATTTCTCCCAATTTTCATAGTGAATTTCATTATGTGGTGTGGCTCCATGGTTTTTTCCCGATTTTGGATTTTTTCACATTAAATCCAGGTGTTTTCTTTTTTCTACTGCTTTCTATTTCTTGTTTGTGTTCGTTGCGTGGTTTACTTCCACGCCAACAAGAAGATAATAGAACATATTCAAACTACTTTTTATAGTGATCCATCTAGAATTTGGATAGTAATTTTCATAATATAAACTATAATTATAGAAGATAATTTTATCTCTACCAAATGATTTAAAGCTCCCAAGTCTACTATCCAAGTTTTAAACATTTTTCTTCTTGTTTGCAATAAAGGGATCAAATTATTCACTCTTTTGAACACCAAGCTTATTCTGATATTGTTCTAGAATAAGCTGTTACTGGAGAATAGCTCGGTCTACAATTTGTTGTCCAGATGGTTGAAACATGAAGGAGATAGCTATTCTAATTTATATTTGTTGCAGGTTCTCTTTGGAATTTCTAATCCAGTATTTTATTATGGATTTTTCATCTTCTGGATATGATTTATTTTTTAAAGTTGATTTGCATCATTAGAGTTGTCAGCTTATTGACCACTAGCTTCTTTGTGGCAATTGCCACTTGCCACCATTTTATTCATGGTAATTGCCACTATATTCTTTACAAGAGAATCCTTTATATATATTTTCACCGCTTTTGTTGGACAACTATTTGTTTTTAGTGTTCATGAAGGACCCATCGACAAGGAGGGACTCCATCTTGAAAGACCCTTCACCCTAGGGGTGTAAACGAATCGAGTTTAGACCTTATCGAGCTCGGCTCGTCAAATGGAAAGCGAGCTCGAGCTTGAGTCGAGCTCGACAGGCAAGCTCGAACTCGAACTCGTCCCACTGTAAACGAGTTCGAGCTCGATAAGCTCGGCTCACGAGCCCATAAACGATTCGAGCTCGAGCTGACTCGGCTCACTTACACCCCTACTTCACCCTCATAGGGAGTAGAACCTTAATGACTCTGGTATCATCTTGATAATTAAAATGAGAAGAAATACTGGTAAAAAATGAGTGATTATATAACTGAATTTTATTTCCTTATTTTGTGCAAAAAATAATATGAAAAAATGAACATAAATAGATAGAGAAATAATTATTAAGGAAAGAAAAAATTCATAAATCAGTATTTAATTATGGAATCCAGAATTAATTATAATGTAGAAGAAGAATGCTAATGTCCACAAACTATCGGATTGTTGTAAATGGAAAGCAACTATCCATGGATTATTAGATTGTTGTAGATGAAATTGCAGATGGAAAGCTAATATCCATGATTTACTATAGATAGAAAACCATTATCTATGAATTGTTGGGTTGTTGAAGATGCAAAAATGTTGGCCACACAATTATTTATACATAAGCAAATGCCAATTGACTCATGATAAATAAACAAAAATCCAGAAAGAAAATTGTAAGAAGAGTAACATAATCCTGTTAGTAAAGCTATTTCATTGATTTTGAAGTCACCGATTGGATGAATAGCAACAGTTTCATCGAACTAGTTTAAGAAAGTGAATAGCTTCAAATTAGCTAATAAATGAAAGTGTGTGGCTCAAAAATAAAACCTTGAATTTTCATCCATATAAAGTACAATTGGGAAGGGAAAAAAGTCTGGCAGCAGCAGAAACTACCTTCCGACAAGTTGTTATTGGATCATGAGAGTAGAACGGTGCATAACCAATAAGCATCTCATACATTATAGCACCCAATGAAAACCTGAAGAAAGCTCATCAGAAAAGAAAATATGACCAACTTAAACAATGGTATAAAACCATAATAGCATAGTTCCTAAGCAATTGCAAAGTAATGGCACGAAATTAACATAATGATAGTCGTATACACAGATTCACTTTATTTTAGAATCTTGCATCCAGATCTCTACCAATAACTATGCTTTCAACCAAAGAAAATTTCGAATGTTAACTAGATCTTTTTACTCATTCTCTCTCCTCTTTTAGACTCTCTGATAATACCCACTAGAATATCAATATAAGTAGCAAACCTCTTTCTTTCTCTCTCAATCTCTTCATACATATATAGACACACATTCACCCTCCATAAAAATTGTAGAGCTACGGGTGATCAACAACAAACCTTCATCCTACCACCCTACTGATAGAACAAAAAAAAAACAGAACAAAATGTAGAGAAGAGAAAACACCACAGTTCTTCCTTTCACTCCTTTCACGGGAGAAAACAAAAACTGAGAGCAACTTCTGTTTCACGAGAGCCAAAATAAAATGTTATAGTCTTCCAACGGGATAACACATGCAGAGAATCACAAATCAGTTTTTATAACTGTCCGAAAGAAAAAAATAATATATAATAAAAGAAAATAAAAGTGAAACGACGCATTGCTTCATATGAAAAAAAAATCCAACACCTACAGATTCCATCTCACAAGAGGTGGGGGAGTGAAGAGGTAGAGTGAGGGTCTCTCTCGCTCCCAACTTCACCTCAATTATGGTTGAGAGTAGGATCTCTCCTCCTCCCAACTCAAGGGTCAATTAAGGTTAGATGCAAACTACGCTAATCATTTGTCTGCCTCACCCCAAGTCCCCAACCATGCTTTAGATGAAGCTAGTATACTGAAGAAGAGGAGAGAGAGAGAACACCATGAAGAGAGACGCACAGAGAATCTAATAGAAACTTTCATCATGAAGATCACTGAAAGGCAAAAAGAAAATGATTCAAGCAAGAAGAAATCTGAACATAAGATGTAGTGAAAACAGCGAGCAAGCGTGCTTACTAGGGTACAAGTGAAGGAAGGAGTATGTGATAGGAAATACTTGAGTTCGCAAGTAATCCTATCGGATTTACTTGAGTTCGCAAGCAAACCTAATCAATAATAAGTAAAAACAGCGAGAAAACGGAAGAATCATGGTGGAAGAACAAACAAAGAGAAAAAAGAACAAAGCAAAGATACAGGAGATCCTCTATTCGAGAGGAGGATCGTTCTCTCCCAATCTCTAGACACTAGGTCTAGAGCCCAAAACTCCCAAGAGACTCCAAGAGAAAATAATACTTAAGCATGCTCTAACCCTCACCTCTCATGCCTATTTATAGATTAATTCCAAAGCTCTTTTTCCAAAATAGATTAATTCAAACCTCCTTTCCCAAAATAGATTAATCCCTTGCCTTAAATAAGATATTTTATTTAATTAAATAGGGACCCACGTCCCTATGGCTTAGGCAGTTAGAGAGGAGGCGGTTTGAACCGCCTCCTGTAGACCTTGGTCGACCCAGGTGGGGTCGGCTAGATAGGCGCCGACCTATCAATACCGCCCTCCCAAAGAATCACCTTGTCCTCAAGGTGAAAACAAGGGAATTGATGTTTCATCATCTCGTATGGCTCCCACGTGGCCTTGTAATTAGGAAGGTTCTTCTACTTGATCAACACTTCCTTAGTTCAATCTTCTTTCTAGCGGACCCCCATCAACTCTACGGGTTCCAGAACCACCTCTAAATCCTTAGTAAGTGTCACCGGTAGTTCGGGGTTGGCTGTGTAGTCACCAATAGCCTTCCTCAACTGCGAGACGTGAAAAATTGGGTGTATAGTCGCCGTTGGTGGTAGTTTCAGTCGATAAGCTACTACCCCAATCTTCTCCAGCACTTCATAAGGACCAAAGTACCTTGGAGCCAGCTTTTCATTCCTCCTGTTGGCGGCTGTCCTCTGTCTATATGGTCAGACCTTCAAGAACACCCTCTCCCTCACTTCAAACTGGATGCCCTCCTATGCTCATTAGCTTGTTTCTTCTTAATTTGTTGGGCACTTAGCAGATGTCTCTTGAGCTCTTCTAACACTCTATCCCTCTCCTCCGAGTACTCCTCAACTGAGGAAACAGGGTGTTGCTGCTCCCAAAGTGTATGAAGTGGGGAGGATCCTTTCCGTACAACACCTTGAATGGAGTTATCTGAGAAACAGAGTGAAAAGAGGTGTTGTACTAGTACTCGGCCCATGATAGCCACTTACCCAGAGCTTGAATGTCTCCGATACGAAACATCTCAGGTAAGTCTCCAAGCTCCTGTTCACTACTTCCATTTGGCCATCCATCTGTGGGTGGTAAGCTGTACTCTTTAGAATTGTCCCTTGCAGCCTAAACAACTCTCTCCAAAAATGGCTGAGGAATACCTTATCTCTGTCTAATACGATCGCCTCGGGTACTCAATGTAATCGAACCACCTCCCTGATGAAGGCTGAAGTCACTGTCACTGTTGTATAGGGGTGTCGGAGGGGAATGAAGTGTGCATACTTGCTCAACCTATCCACCACCACCAGGTTCACTGTGAACCCTTCTGAACGGGGCAACCCATCTATAAAGTCCATAGAGTTCTCCTCCCACACTCTTCCCAGTAGAGTTAACGGTTGTAGTAATCCTCCTGGTGACATAGCCAGGTACTTACTCCTTTGGCAGATCTCACACCTGGACCATCTCCTCTACATCTTTACACATCCCCTTCCAGTACAGGTCCGCAGCTAGCCTCCTGTATGTCTTCTGTACGCCTGAATGGCCCCCCAAAGCACTTCCATGAAACTCCTAAAGTTTGGGATGTTGATCGAGGTCCGTGGCATCACAAATCTCCCCTGATATAGCAATTTGTCTCCCTCCAATGAGTACCCTGGGTGGCTACCTTCTTCTTTCAGTAAATCTGACTTGATCTTTTCCAAACCTTTATCTCTCGCACTTTCCTCTCTGATGGCCTCCCAGTCAAGCATCAAAGGAATAGATAGTGTCACTGTTTGCAGCTCCCCCATACATCGGAACAATGCATCTGCCGCCTTGTTCTCTACTCCTGGCCTATACTGAATCTTAAAATCATACCAAAGCAACTTGGACAGCCATCTTTGATGCTCCTCTATCACCATCCGTTGTTCCAGCAGGTATTTCAAGCTCCGTTGATCTGTCCTGACAATGAAATGTCTTCCAAGTAGGTAGGGTCGCCACTTCTGGATGGCCAAAACAATGGTCATTAATTCACTCTCATAAACTGATTTCAACCGGGCTCTAACACTCAATACCTGACTGAAATAGGCAATGTGCCTACGACTCTGCATAAGCACTGCACCCAGCCCGGACGCATCTGTCTCCATAATGAAGGTCTGAGTGAAATCTTGCAAAGCTAGGACCGGCACCGTAGTCATCGCCTTCTTCAAGCTCTTAAATGCTAATGTGGTCGCCTCCCCCCATAGGAACCCGTCCTTCTTCAACTGCTCAATGAGTAGTCATGCTATGGAGATGTACCCCTTAACGAGCCTCCTGTAGTAACCTGTAAGTCCTAGAAATCCCCTCAGCTCCTTCAGATTTTTCGGCACTGGCCACTTTAGCATTGCCTCAATTTTGGACTGATCTGCTGCCACCCCTTCTTTTGATACCACATGGCCCAAGTACTCTACACTGGCTTGTGCAAAGCAGCATTTATTCAAATTAACTCTCAGTTGGTGCTCGTGTAGTACCTCTAACACCCTTTTCAAATGCTCCCAGTGCTCCTCCTCTGTCCTGCTGTGGACTAGAATGTCATCAAAGAATACAAAAACAAATCGTCTGAGGTAAGGTTTAAAAACCTTATTCATAAGGGCTTGGAAAGTAGCAGGAGCATTGGTGAGGCCAAATGGCATCATCAGGAACTCATAATGTCCTTCATGGGTTCTAAAGGCCGTCTTGGGTACATCCTCCTTCATCCGGATCTGATGGTAACCTGATTTCAAGTCTATCTTACTGAAAATCACGGTCCCATTCAATTCATCTAACATCTCGTCAATGACTAGTATAGGAAACTTGTCAGATACAGTTTCCTTGTTGAGTGCTTTGTAGTCCACACAAAAATGCCAGCTGTCATCCTTCTTTTTCACCAATAGAACAGGGCTAGAGAAAGGGCTAATGATGGGTCTAATGATCTCTGCCTCCAGCATATCTTTAATCAACCTTTCGATTTTATCCTTCTGGAACTGAGGGTAACGATAAGGTTGTACACTGATGGTTGACACTCCCTCCTTCAACACGATGGCATGCTCCTGCTCTCTCTGCGGTGGCAATCTTTGAGATGGCTGAAAAATCTCTTGGAATAGCTGAATCAACGACTGAATGGAGAGGGGTATATCTCCTGCCTCTTTCAATCTCGCTCCCTCCAAACTGTGCAGCTCCACCAAATACCCTCTGCCCGCCAACTGAAAGTCCCTCACCATCATTTTAAGAGAAACCAGGGATTTGGAAAGCCCCGCATCTCCCTTCATCACCACCTTCCTTCCATCCACCATCAACTCCATTGTGAGTGCTCCCCAATTCACTTTAGTGTCTCCCAAAGTTTGAAGCCATTTCATCCCCAGGATGACGTCGATACTCCCAAGCTCTAGCGGAAGAAAATCTTCCCTCACCTGTATCCCCTGGATTGTTAGTCGCACTCCTTTGCAAATCCTCTGACCTTTCTCCACCTTCCCAGTACCCATCATCACCCCGTAACAGTCGATATCCACCAATCTCACTCCCAGTTGGTCGACGACCTGGGTAGAAATGAAATTTTGAGTAGTTCCATTATCAATCAACACCACCACCTCCCTGTCCTTTATCTCTCCCTTCACTTTCATTGTGTGATTCGTAGTGAATCCAACCACTGAGTTCAGGGAAACCTCAGCCAAATCCAAGTGTAGCTTCTCCTCCATCTTCTCCTCTGTCTCCTCCTCAACTCCCTCAGTTTCCTCGTCATCACAAACGGTGAGAACCTGAAGAGTTCGGTCCTTGCACCGATTCCCCGGTGTATACGTTTCATCACACCTGAAGCACAACCCCTTAGCCCTCTTCTCCTGCATATCTTTCTCCATCAGCCGCTTGAAATTTCCCCCGCTTCCTCCTATCTTCTCCTTGGTGGCCTCTCGACTTCCTCCTATTGCAAAACCTTTATGTGCTAGCATGGTTTAAAATTGCGCAATATGAGGCTCGCCCTTGCGCAATTCCAGTAAAAAATGCCTCGATGCTTATGCCTCGAGTTTTGTTTATGAGGCTTACGCCTCAACTTGGTTGAGGCCCGCCTCGCCTTACTGGCATGAGGCTTACGCCTCACGCTATATATATTAAAACTTACATAAATCTTGAAGTAAATGCCCGACATTGGACTCTATAAGAGAGGAGGAAGGGAAAAGAGCAGTTCATTATAATGATGATTCAAATGAAGAACCCCTTAGTGATGATAGTGTTGATGACTTATGAGTTCTTATGTGACATGTCATTGCTATTTATTTTTTGGAAATTGGAATTATATGTTAATGAAAAGAATACTGGGATTTGGGAAAGATAGAATTTTGAGTTGAACCATATTTCAAGTTGTCTTATTATTGAGATATTTTGATTTCACTTCATATCTTATGTTTTTTTATGTTTTATATTATTCACTCATTAGTATATAAAAAATTATTATTTTATATTTACGCAATCTTTTGATTTTGAGGCTTACGTCTCAAAACGCCTTGAAACTTACGCCTCGCCTCACGAATGAAAAACGCCTCAATACCCGAATACGCAATTTTAAACATTGTGTGCTAGATGAGTGGTCGTCATCCTGTAAGTCACAGGGCATCAAAACCTTCACTTTTGCTCGGATCTCTGCCTTCAACCCTTTCATGAAATTTCTCTCCAATACTGTAACTAAGAGTCGCTCCACCCTGCTAGCTAGGTGCTCAAACTGCTCATGGTAGTTTGCTATTGATCTCTCCTATGTCAAAGCAAAGAACTGCTCATAGAAATCTCCTCCCCGATCAGTTTAGAAACGTTCTATTATGCAGTCTTTGAATTCCCTCCAGTTCCTGATAGGCCTCCTCTAATCTCTCCAATGATACCACGACAAGGCTTTTCCTTACAAGCACAATCCAGTTGCGGATAGCTTCATCTCCTCCGTCAGCCCATTGACGGCGAAGTATTGCTCCACCTTGTAAATCCACTCATACGCATCTTCTCCTTCGAATATGGGCATCTTCAACTTCCTCACCTTTTAGTCGCCCCCATTGCCCTGGATTCTTCCATAGTTTTCCCTCTCCCAAGTGCTAGGTGCACCCCATGTTTCCCGGTCTTCCCTTGCCCTGCCATAGCCCAAACCCCCTTCGAAATCCCCCCTTCTTTCTTCAAAATCAACACCTCGGCAGCCATAGTATCCCTCATGGCGTTCCCCATATCCACCTCCTCTTTCTTCCCTCTAGACAGGCTCCAGATGAGGTCTTCATCCCTCTCCTTCCATGATTTTCACATCATCTTCCTCCCTACGAATTTCAGAATTCATACTTTTTTTCTTCATTCCCTTTAGCCACTGAAGCCGCCATTTGATTTTGAATTTCCAACATTTTTTTCATTATATCTCGAAGATCGGCGACTTGTCCCTCCATTGAAGAAATCCTTTCCTCCGTCGTTTTGATTTGATTCATCTCCCCTTCAAGTCTTTTCTCTAAGGCATCCACTTTTTTGGCCGCCATCACAATCCGGAGTTTGTAAGTTCACAAAATCAGGATTTTGGGGTAAAAAATCAGCAATTTCTTCTTGTTTTTAGCAAAAAAAACTGATGTTGTAATTTGCCGAAATCAGCCCTCCACCAGTCCCAAGACTTGCTCTGATACCAATTTGCTAGGAAATACTTGAGTTCGCAAGTAATCCTATCGGATTTACTTGAGTTTGCAAGCAAACCTAATCAATAATTAGTAAAAACAGCGCGAAAACGGAAGAATCGTGGTGGAAGAACAAACAAACAATAGCAAATCTTATAACAATCAAAGAGAAACAAGAACAAAGCAAAGATACAAGTGATTCTCTATTCGAGAGGAGGATCATTCTCTCCCAATCTCTAGACACTAGGTATAGAGCCCAAAACTCCCAAGAGGCTCCAAGAGAAAACAATACTTAAGCATGCTCTAACCCTCACCTCTCGTGCCTATTTATAGATTAATTACAAACCTCCTTTCCCAAAATAGATTAATTCAAATAAATTAATTCAAACCTCCTTTCAAAATTAGATTAATTCAAATAGATTAATTCAAACCTTATTTTCCAAAATAGATTAATCTCTTTCCTTAAATAAGATATTTTATTTAATTAAATAGGGGCCCACGTCCCTATGGCTTAGGCAGTTAGAGAGGAGGCGGTTTGAACCGCCTCCCGTAGACCTTGGCCGACCCAAGTGGGGTCGGCTGGATAGGCGCCGACCTATCAGTACGATCATAGGATAGGGCACTAACGGTTGTTAGTTGTAACAAGAGAAGGCGTAAGAGAGGGTGAGCGCATCAACAAGTGGGAGACGACAACAAGCAATCAAGTGTGAGCAACGTGAGTGAAATGTGGTTGCAAGCAGTGCATAAGCAAGGATGGCGCATACAAAACCAAGCAAGTAGACAAAGTGACCGAACGGGGAGAATGTAATTGCATGTGTGGGTAGACAAATGCAAACGTAAGAGTGGTTGTGACAAAAATGAGAATAGGGTAAAATAGTTAGGTCAACTCTCATACCATGCTAGAGTATAAAAAAAATTTGATTAGATCTTATTGACATAGAAGAGTGTTTATGCATAGACAAATATAGTATAGGCCAAAAATTATGAAATAAAGCAGACAATATCCCAAATTATGGGGATAAAAACATAAATAGAAACATATCTTCAACTAATTACTGAATAAGTATTTTTCATATGATAGTGTTTCCAATTAAGGGGCAATTTGGTTTGTCGAAAAAGAAATGCAGAATAAAATGTAGGGGTGTCAATATTGGAAACGACCCGAAAACCCGACTCGAACCCGACACGGAAATTTCGGGTTCGGGTCAACCCGAACCCGAATCGGTTCGAGTTAGAGATTTCAATCCATTTGTAAAACCGGGTCGGGTTTGGGTTGATCCGGAAACCCGGAATCAACCCGGTTTGACCCGGGTTCGCGTCATTCATGTCCGCGTCCATTCCGTCGCGTCGTCTGCGCCTCTGCGGTCTGTCGAGTCGTCTGCAGCTGTCCGGTTCGACGTCGCGTCCGCGGTTGGCTGTCCGCATCCAAACTCGAGTGGCTCAAGCGATAAAGCCCATAGGGCATTCCGGAACCGGATTCCGGAAACGGATCCGCTGTCCGCCCATCCGGTGACCGCTATCCTCACACGGTCGCACCGTCGCTGCGTCGCACCGTGCGACTCGCAGGCCCGCAAATGGACTAACGGAGTCACCGACTCACCGCGTTCGCCAGCCATACTCGCAGACGAAGGTCTCCGCCAACAGTCGTGTCCACCGCCGGTCCGTTCGCCAGCTATTTCGCGCGCTTGATCAGCAAAATCGCGGAAATCCGGGTCGAGTCGGTTTGACCCGAACCCGAAACGGGTCGGGTTTGGGTTGACCCGAATAGTGCCAGGTCAGTTTTAGGTTCGACCCGAACCCGACCCGTGACCCGAAATTGACACCCCTAATAAAATGGAATGCAGTATAAAAGAATGCAATGTCACTTATCTGCATGTCATAGTTATTTGGATGAGAATAAAATAAATGCATTTGATTACTTTTTTTTTTGTTTGGCTTGAGGTAAAATGAATGCACTGTAAAGCCTAACTATAGTGGTGGTTAGTGGCCGCTGGCAGCAGCAAGTGGTAGTTGATGGCGGCAGGTAGCTGATGGCGGTGGTGGTAGGCCATGGGCAGCAATGGCCGGCAGCCAAAAGCAAGTAGCAGATAGTGGCCTTCCCCTATAATGGCAATGGTGGCGATGAAGGAGGTAGTGAGTAGGGCTGGAAGTGGATAGTGGCCAGCAATAGCGACAATGATAGAAAATTTATACCATATTTGGAAATATGACAAATCTAATGATTTTCAAATATATTAAAATTAAACTAGAAGATTTCCAAATACTTAAAAATTTTACTCTGTATTTCTTTTACTTCAAATCAAATACCGATATTTTCAAAACCCCTGTATTTAGAATATTTTACAACGCTTTTACTTTCTAACATCTTCCATTACACCACTAGTTATTCAAACATATCTTAAACCAAATTTCGAAGTGAATAAACATAAAATAATGTCAACTTGAAACTAAATACAATTTTATGGATTTTTTTATTTTTTTTTTGAGCTCAGTAGAATTAACAAACCAGTCGCACTCCATGCCATATCCCTTCTTTAGTAACACCTCTGGGGCAATATAGTCTGGAGTGCCTACAGTAGAAAATGCCTAGAGTAGAAAATCAAAACAACGAACTTTCAGCTCGATAATCCAGAGGAGAAAAGAACTAGAAATTAGCATCATAAAACCATGAAATGCAAAGTAGAACAACTATGTTGATACCAATTGTCTCCTGTTTATCTGCCAATGCTGTAGCTGCTCTTGGGAGCTTTTCCATCTGCCACCATTGACCTTGTCTAGAAAGGTACCATCAATGTCCATTGACTCCTTCAGCTCTTCATCGGTCATAGGTTCATTTTCATTCAAAGTTGAAAGAATTCTGCAGTCAATTGGCTTGCAGAGGCCAAAGTCAGACAGTTTCAAGTGGCCATTTTTATCTAACAGAAGATTGTCGGGTTTGATATCTCTGCATGTCAAGAGGAAGGGAGATAAGATGGCTACTATACTAATTTTTGTAGCCTCTGAAGTTAAAGATACAACCTGTGAATGTAGTTATGTTTATGAATGGACTCTATCGCCAAAACACTCTGGGCGATGTAGAATCTAGCAACATTTTCAGTCAAAATCTCCTCCCTTGTAAGCAGAGTCATCATGTCACCTCCAGGAAGATATTCCATGATGAGGTAAAGGTAATCAGCATCTTGAAATGAGTAGTACAATTTTACAATACAATGGCTTGCAACTTCAGCAAGCAGATTTCTTTCAGCTCTAACATGTTCAACCTACAATAACAAAATGAAGCCATAAGTCATTTACCATAATTTCATCATTCATAAAAGACTACCAGCATCTCAAGTTCCTCACCTGTCCCCTGCTAAGCATTTCAGACTTCTTAAGCTTCTTCATTGCATAAATATTACCCGTGGACTTCTCACGGCAAAGCCTAACCTGAAAAAAAAAAAAAAACTGCAGTAAGCCTCTAAGAGAACCACTGATAGAAAAAAAATACAATATCGCATTCGATCTAGCATCTAGAACAACTCCATTGTCATAAACTGTGTTCAGGAAATCAAAACCAATATGTGAAGCAAACACAAAGAGGCTAAATAGTTACCAATGTCCTAACTTATCATCATTCATGCCAACAAAAGCTCCAGGCGTATATTTCAGCATACCTTGTCAGTGGTCATACTAACCAAGAAAAGCATCATAAATATGTTTTTGAAGATCAGGCTAACAAGTTTCTCATATCCATATTACTTGGTGTTTGTATGAGGAGATGTTAGAGGATGAAACAAAACTGATGTTACTTACGATTACTGCATAAAACTCAAGGACCAAAGTTTATTTTGAATATTAAACGACAAATAGGAAACGAGAACAATACTATAGTGTGCAAAAATGCAAACAATACACAAATATAATGTTCCAAACCTCTCCAAACGCTCCTCTTCCTATGATAGTCAGTAGATCAAAATCATCAACACAAATCTTGTGTCTCCTAAGTCGCATGTACTCTGTTTCCTTTTGCTCTAGATCCTTCATTATTTTCATTTGCTCCTCCTGTGAAACTTGTGAATCAGCTAACTTCTTCTCAAGGACGCATCTTCTGAAATAAGTACAAACTAGTCAACAAGTTTAACATAAAGAAAATTTAAGGATTAGCAAGTGGTTTAAACAAACTCTACAAAACATGATTTCAGCATCCGCAGGAATTATTCTGTAAAAGTGTAATAAGCATGATAATCAAAATTACTTCAAAACAAAAACATAAACATGCACGAACAATAATTGAGTCAAAATATGCAAATGTGTCAAAAGAAAATAGCATCTAAAAAATGAATATTCAAATCCTTGGGCATTTCAAGTAAATAGGATTCCTGAAAAGCCAACCTAATGAATCTGAACATAGACATCGCAATGCAAGTATCAGAAGTAAATCCAATGCATGCATAGATACCTTAAGGATGTAGTAGATTCACTTGTGCGCACATTTTTGCAACCTTTGATGAATATTCAATTCAAATAGCATCTACAACAGTGTGGTTCATTCAAGCATACATATCAAGGATTCAAATGCATTAGAAGCCCTTTGTTGACCATTTAGAGAGGTAGAGATGAGTACAGAAATACAGATAAATGACAGATGGTGAAGGAGGGTGGAAAAAGAGGAAAGGGTGTGAGGAAATAATACACTTAAAAGGAAGATTCTATGGATAATGAAAAATAACATTTAATTTAAAAACAATCCTGCCATGTTGAAGCATATCATAGGACATTGAAGAACATGGTTGATTCACGTGTTGCATACTTCCATTCATACCTTTAATGCTCTACAGGATGATCACCCTCAAACTGATTATGCATTTGATCAATCATTATTGTTCATAGTTCTTGTTAGCAAACGTATTAGACGTGAGAGATGAATTTGAATGCAGAAAACAAATAAAAACAAGTTACAAGGTCAAAATTAGGATTGTGAACAGATTATCTTCAATCTACCTCGCAACACTACACCCTAACGACTAGTTCGTTCAATTCCTTCCACTTCTGCAAATAAATGAATTAAAACACTCAGTACAATTAAGCTAACTGTCTTGACATGTTTATATGCACTCGAATTTCCGGTGAGACATAAAAGGAAATCAATCAAAAAGCTTCGTTTGATAATTCATGTGTGAAACAAACCATTTTGCCTCTAGTCTACCACACGGAGACCCATCCACAAGGAAAGAAGCCATTGGAAACACAAAAATGAAGCAAAGCGCTAGCAAAGAGATCCTAATCGAGACCTCCGAGCTCCGCCAGCAATGCATTATTTCATTAACTCGGGATACTAACAACACTAAGCAGATATCAAATAAATTCGAAAAGCGCTAATTCATAAGAAGCGAAACAAGGAAAGATTCCCCATTCCCTCCTTCAAAAGAGGAAATAATTGCATCCCATAATAACGTTAGCAGAAGTTAGTAAGATCCACCAAGGATCAAATTGTTGAAGCCGGATGAAAAGTCATCAGGAATGAGATGAAGAGATCTGATCTTTTAGGGGCTAGGAGCAAAGAGTTCCTACAATGAATTTGCGGATGCTAACCTTTCCATCCGCTCCTGGATGTTCTTCTTCTGCGCTTTGTAATGACTCTCTATGAACTGCTTCGCAGCAGCCACCCTCACCATAGTCAAGCTCGAGACCGTCTTTTCCTCGTCTTCCTCCTCTGCACCTTCACCTCCGTTCTCACGTTCGTCTCCCGCGTCCTTCATCTCCCTTTCCATGTCCCCTTGTCTTCCTCTACCCTCTGAGCCCTTTCTCTCCCTTCCTTCGATTGAACCCTCTTCTCTCTCTCTCCCCCATGTTCCCTCCTGCCCTTTTTATGTCGCTCTATTTTTGTTCTCACCTGGCAGGATGTGTAAGCGACGAAGTCAGACCATTGCAACGGAGCAGCGAATCGAACGCCGTACCGGTGGACCGGCCTTCGAATATATATATTTTTTTAAATGCACTTGAAAACTTGTGCAATTTATGTATCTACCTTAATAAGAGGGCAATTTTCAAGCATGCAAATTTGAAGAGAAAAAGAAAAAAATATTTTATGTGGATATCAGATTGTTCGGAAATAAATTATAATGTGCCCACCCATGATGACTCCTTTTGTCAATCTAAAATCCCCATTCTCAACCTTTGCATTTTAGGGGAAGGAGTAGTATTCATGCTCCCTCTAAAATGCACTTCAAATGATCATACTCTGATGTCAAGAATACTAAATAATCCTTTATACCCATATAAGATCTCCGCAATTTTACATTTGACAAAGCTCAAGCAGGCACTTCACACTTATGAAGCTTCGAGTAGAAGCCTCAAACTCTCTTAAATGATCTCAACCACCCACCACAATGCACTTATTTGTATATGGCCTTATCCCCCTATGCAATCTCTTCTTCAATTGACACCCATTAAGACCCTCTCACCCACTATGTTGTCTACTCTAAAGGAAAAAAAAACCCTATAGATAAAGTGCAAAATCACCATATAACTCAAAATCTCCTCAAACTAAATCAAAAGAAAAGAAGAAAAGTCCCCATCCTTCCAACTTCTTTGATTCAATATATACTTCCCACACCTCACCTTATCGAATGTAAGAAGCCTCAAAGCTTAAGGTCCTGTATGAGATTGCAAAAGATTGGTTCACCATATGCAATTAGACCATGAATTATTCTTTGAACCCTGCCTTGATAAAATCTTGCTTTTTTTTCAAATTAAGAAAGCTATAACAACTCCAATCACTACTTAGTTATAAGAATATGGATTAAGTCAAACCCCCATTGAATTTTCTTTAACCCTATTACCATTACTTTGCAACTTATATATGGTGATATTGTCTTCAATAGACACCCTAAGTTCATGCTTACTTGTGTTTATGCAACCAATGATGCAAGGGAAAGATAAAATCTATGGAACTTTTAATGAAAGCTTTTCTCAATGATAAATTCTAGGTGGTTGGTACTTGGAGATTTCAAATGTGACATCTCCAATAATGAGAAGTTTGACAAGAATCCTATCCCGCAAAGAAAGATGATAGATTTTAATAATTGAACCTTTGAGTCTTACCTCATAGATCTTCCTTGCACTTGCCTCTATAATGTGATCTAATTATTAGCTTAGAATCCTATTAGGTGTAAAATGAATAAACCTTTATGCAACTCCTTATGGCTAGGCATCTACCCCTCCTCTTAAAGATCCACCCCTCTCCCCCTCTAACCCACCTTTATCTTAAGACAACACACCTCGTCTTATAATTAAACCTTAAAAAAATTAGGTCCACTAAATAAATGTTTATTTCTTAGAAATTATTGGACTTTGAACAACCTTTTTAAAATTAAAATGAAAGAGGCTAATAACAAATGTGCTAAAAAAAAGATATGATCTTTATACTTTATAAAAAGCTTCATGCTTCCAAAAGGTCTCTCAAATATATTAATTGAAAAAATGGTAACTCTTGTATCCAATCCATTGTTTCTATTAAAAAGGACTGAAATATCCCATAACAACCCTTTAAATATTCTCTTAATGCTACATAGGGTTACAATGAGTCAAGTGTTCTAAAAACACCTCAAGGCTTGGCACAAATAGAGCTCTTTCATTATCATTCGATTACTGATTAAAGAACTATGAACATTTTTTATAAAGAATTATTAAATAAATAAGATTGAATAGCTCGTTGCACAATTTTTTTATGATCATGATAATATTGTTTAAAGCTCCTAAGCAAGCTGATAAATAGTTTCATTTAAAGCTCAAGAATAAGCTTGTGAACAACCTCCTTGAACTTTCAATTAGTTCAAAGAAAGGTATGCATTTCGACAAGTCACTTCAACCTTATATATCATAATAAATTAACTTAGTAAAAATGATAATAATATATTTACATTTCTTTCACCAATTAGGTCCACAATGAAACCAGAGATTTGCAAGAGCAATGACTAATTAATCATTCTTGGGGACCTATGAGTAGTAAAATGTTAGCAAACTTTTATAGTTAACGGCTACAGATTTCAAATCAAAGCTTGGTGTGAAGGTCGGAAATAAAAAAAAATTTATGTATGGGTGAAAGGGAACAATCATACGAGTGATGATTGTGAATATTATGGGGTCTTATAGGAAGTATTATAGCTAGAATATCCTGATGAAGGGAACAAATTGTATCTATTTAATTGTGATTGGTATGATCTAGTGTAAAATAGCTGAACAAGCGTTCATCCACTTTATGGCATTATAGAAGTAAAGTGAGACAGAAGATTTGGAGAATATGACCCATTTTTCATTGATAGCCAGGTGACCCATGTATTTTTTGCTAACTATTTAGGTAGACCGTGGGGTAAGCAAGATTAACTTGTAGTTATCAATATTAAACCTAGGGGGGTCATTGAGAATAATGCATCAATACCACCAATGCATCAATAAGAGTGCATGTTGAACTTTAAAGAGCCTACTAATAATATAGATGATCAAATAGTAACTAATAAGACCAAGTTGCAGTTAGAGGAGGTAGACTTAAACATTGAGAAAAACATTGAAGATGTCAATAGTGAGGACGTGGTCATATCAAATGAAAGTGAATCACCTAATGATTAATAGTTATAAGGAAAATATGAATCACCTAGTATTTTTTCACAACATGTTAGTATATATATAGTATTTTTTTTTTTTTAGTATAGTAGGAATAAACACAATTTTTTTACAGCATAGTAGGAGTTACTTCTTAATTTTTCCATATAATTTACTTCTTTCATGCATTTTCATAAATATACAAATTATAGTTAATTGTTTCTTTTATTTTTTTACAGAGATGGCATATAGAGGTGTTAATTCCCCGAGGCGATCGATCACAAATATTTTCAGGCGCAAGAAGGGTACCGATGGACGATTCAGTAGAGGTGGAGGTATTGAGGGGACCTCCTCTTCATAGCCTACCACTCATACCCAACCTAGCCCCCTTTTTCCTACACTTACTACAGGAATTCCTCAGGTTTACTCTGAAGATCATCACTTTTGTCACCAGACCCGATGTAGATGGCTCCCTTTTACCCGTACTACCCCTCACCATCTTCTTAGATAGTCTCCTTTTACCTGTTAGGGGGTTGTTGAGTTTTCGCTTTCTTCTACCGATAGACTTATGGTCGGGTAGGAACCTCGCTGTTTCGAGGCCTATGGCCGAGCGAGGGTGCTCCCTTTCTTCACCAACAGACCTATGGTCGGGTGATTGTCCTCTTTTCTGCTTTATTCTATCGATAGATCTATGGTCGGGTAGAGACTTCGCTGTTTCGGGGCCTATGGCCGAGCGGATGTGTTTCCTTTCCTGCCCTTCACCGACAGACCTATGGTCGGGTGATTGTTGAGCTTACCTTTATTCTACCGACAGACCTATGGTCGGGTAGAGACTTTGTTGTCGGGCCTATGGCCGAGCAAAGGTGGATCTTTTCTCTTCATCCTATCGACAGACCCATGGACGGATAGATGTTGAGCTTCCTGTTTACTCCCATCGACAGACCTATGGTAGGGTGGACATCGGGCTTTTGGTTGGTTACCCGACAGAGTCCCTGGGGGGTATACTTCACCACCTCTTCATTCCCCCTGTTTCCTTTTTACCTGTTAGGGGGTTGTTGAGTTTTCGCTTTATCTTACCGACAGACCTATGATCGGGTAGGAACCTTGTTGTTTCGGGGCCTATGGCCGAGCAAGGGTGCTCTCTTTTTTTCACCGACAGACCTATGGTAGGGTGACTATTCTCTTACCGACAGACCTATGGTCGGGTAGGAACCTCGCTGTTTCGGGGCCTATTGCCGAGTGAGGGTGTTTTCCTTTCTTTTTCACCGGCAGACCTATGGTCGGGTGACTGTTCTCTTACCGACAGACCTATGGTCGGGTAGGAACCTCGCTGTTTCGGGGCCTATGGCCGAGCGAGGGTGTTTACCTTTCTTTTTCACCGGCAGACCTATGGTCGGGTGACTGTTCTTCTACCGACAGACCTATGGTCGGGTAGGAACCTTGCTGTTTCGGGGCCTATGGCTGAGCGAGGGTGTTTCTTTTTCTCTTCATCGACAGACCTATGGTCGGGTGACTGTTCTTCTACCGACAGACCTATGGTCGGGTAGAAACCTTGCTGTTTCGGGGCCTATGGCCGAGCGAGGGTGTTTCTTTTCCTCTTCACCGACGGACCTATAGTCGGGTGACTGTTCTTCTACCGACAGACCTATGATCGAGTAGGAACCTCGCTGTTTCGGGGCCTATGGCCGAGCGAAGGTGTTTTCTCCGTCCCTTTCGTATCACCGCCAGACCGATGGTCGGGTGATATTTGATATGTTCCCTCACTCTCTGACTTATGTTTAGATGATCATTGAATTCCATTTGGTTCTTGGTGATCTTATCTTAATTCTACTCATTTGAGCATGAGATTCTGATATTCTTTCTCCTATTTTGCCATTGTGGTTGGGTAGATGGGCGATTTGCTATCTTTGACTCTCCATCATTGTTAAGCTAATTCTATTACTTGACCCTAGAGTTGCATCTTCCTAGAATTAGGGAGGTCAACGCCAACATATACGGTTCACCTATTGTTCTCCGCATATATTGGGGGTTCGTTTGTTGACCTCGATTTTCGCTCAAATATTCTCGAGCACCTTCGATTGATTCGATTGAACCTCATCCATCCTAATTCGAACTCGGATTGATCCAAATTGAGTCAAATTAGATTCGATCACGTTCAATCAAGCTCGAATAATTTGTTTTGAATGTGACAAGTTCAATTTGACCCTAATCTATCGCAATTTGAGCTTAATTTTATTTAATTGAATTGATTGAGCCTAATCCCAATTCTAAATCAAGTCAATTTGCATCCAAACCCAACTCAAATCAGCCCAAATTAATTCTAATTAAATCCTAAACAACTTTCTAGTGAATTTGAA